GTTGCCCGTCTAGCTCCACTTACTACAGACACAAGCTAGCTGCGTCTTTAAGGTACGAGGGACCCCGTCATCCTGCCATGTCCTGCCCAGCGAGCAAGACCGGAACGACAATGACGAAAAAAAGAATAAGAACAGACTGTGGCAATGGTAGTGGCGGCAGCAGCAGCAGCAGCACGAGCCCACTTCGCACATTAAAAGCCATGAAGTCTGTGCATTTTGCCACAGCTAGCTCTTCTCGCACTGCTGTTAGTAGCAGACTATGATGATTGCTGGCTCTACTATCGCCGCTGAGAGCGCCAGTCGGAGGAAATCACTGTCTTTCGTTAACATCGGTCACAGTTTTTCTCCTTTTGGCTACTATGCTTAGCCCGCTGCAACGACGATTTGTCATGTATCGATGGAGTCGCCAAAAAGAACATCGTTATTGGTGTTGTTTGTTGTTATCATCGGAAATCGATGCTTTGTTGTGGCGGACGGGCTGCCAATGACAGTCCCCATTTTGTCGGCATCTGTTCTCCTCGTAGTAACGTACACGTATGAATTACAATGAACTTTAAGATGATAGAGCTCAAACGATGTATTTTGCTGTCTGCACTCCTAACTGCCGCTGCCTTGAGGAGCAGTCTCTATCGGCTGGCCACCGACGGCCCCCAGGTAGAGTGTAAATCGGTTAAACTTTGTTACTGTCAACATTGTTGAAAACGGAAACTCAAACCGCAGCAACAGCTGCTTTTGCCATGAAAAAAATACCATTTTTCCGTCAAGAACCAAACTGCAGTTAATTCCGCGCCTCTATCCGCATCCCTATTCGAACACGAGAAATGCCTCAATCGACCAAATCGCATCCAAGAAACACGGAGTCTAGCCGAACCCAATAGCTGTCGTTTCATTACACACAGAATATATTATACATACATAAATAGAATCTTACTGTTTTCTAAGCTGCGTGATCACTTTATGAAATCAAGTGTAACAACGGGTCGAGTCATCGGTCAGTAATTAACATGGAAAAACGTCAGACTCATAGTATGGCAAATTTTGCTTTTACCGTATACCTATATAGAGACCTAAACGGACCATTTTTAGTACCACAGTTTGAAATACGTATCTACGTCAAACTAAGCGTACAATTTTTGAATACAAATGATCAACTCACGCATAGATTACTCATATATATATATATATATATATAGTGTGGAGAGGAGACTAAATCCGATTAAGCACGTTTATGTGTAAGGTCATCGATGCTCATTGGCGGTTAAAAAAAAAGTCTAGAAAATCGTTCTTTTTGAAACCATTCACGTTAGCGCGCGTATAGGTTTTTGGGCAGTGTTCGGCGTCTCACTATGAGTTATACGCTACTATTAATATTACTATTCTACGAAAGCAGCTGCCGTTATTGGCGCCGAACTGATATGTTATTTTCCCGTTCTATTAATCCGAAAAAAAAAAAAAAAAAAAATTCCATTCAACGAAAAATACTGTGTACGAAAAAAACAGAATTAAATAGTTGGTCTGAGAAACGAGCTTTTGTCGACACACAGAACAGCAATAGCTGCCACCATCGACATTACGACAGCCGCGGTGACGGTCATGATGTTGATGACGGAAAAACAGTATCTCCACCACGACCGTACAAAGTTGACGGCCATACGAAGGCGCAAACACGCGCTCGCAGTATCATCAGCATCACTCCCTGATCAATGGCCGGCTGGCTAACCGGCTTATTCAGGGAGCAGCATTGCTACTCGTTCAGATTACGCAGTCAGCGCCACAAATCAGTCGCCTCTGTCCATCGTCACGCTCGACGAATCAGCAGCTGATTTTCAATCAGCAAGGAACGAGCCAACTGCCACGGATATGCGCCAACTATGAAACTATGTTTGCTGCTTTTTCGTGCGCGGGTAAAGATGACGGCATGGTCGCAAACAGCGCTGGAGGGGGTCGTAATAAATAAATCCATTGATACCAACCAATTAAAGAGCTTACTAGAAAGTGAATAAATATAATAACTGGAAATACTCTTCTCCTTATCCAACCACGACAGTTTATCGTGAACAGGAGAAGCACAAACGTCAGAAGCAGTATCAGCATCGGGAATCTTTAATAATCACAACAATTCTAGTACGTGTCTGTATTAGTAGCAAAAGGGTAATTATTGTGTTGATAAGATAGTCGCGACCAAGGAAACAGGGTCACCCCGCCGTCGATATGGACCTAGTCGCTCGCTGACTGTTTTACTGGCGGGCTCAGTAACACCCGACACTGGCTCGATGACTTTGACAGTCGCTTCTGCTGGCATCATTTTAGCCCAAGTCACAGCTCTGTGCGCGAACAACGAGGCGTTAGACAATGAAGCAGGGCACCACTACTCCTTTTTGTGCTAAGTAGATGTTTCGAGTTTCACATTGAGCACCATGGCCACAGCGCATTTCACCATACGGCTCGCTGCCGTGCGTCCACTGTTGGATTCGAACCGAGAACACTACGTATCTCTCTTCAGCTTAGCATGCAGTTATGCTACCCACTATTTCAGCACGGGTTCTTCTCCTGTTACAGCCATGCTGCCCGCACCTTCTCCGCCGTCTGCAGCGTTTACATCTACCGCTGCTGCAGCCACTACGATCAATGTAACTCTATTACGTTTAGTATTTATTATAATACATATAATGGCGGGCGGAACTGACGTAGAATAGTGCATACTGCAAGAGCTATGATAGCAGTATCGTGGTTTCGGAAACGTCGACATCATCACGTCACCATATGTATTGCCGTTATATAGGCCTCGAATAGCACCGCTATACTGACCCTATTTGTACTCTAGACGCATACACGCATATATTTGGCGCTTTTTTTGTTTAAGGGACCTCTGAATTGGTCCAGTGGTAGCAGCAGTAAGCGGAAGGCCAAGAAAGATGCATCCATACGCACGGCACACCGTTGCCGGTGCAGGCGCAGCCGTAGCCGCCATCGCTCGACGTTGATGACGTCGGTCACCTTTGGCGGACACTCGAAGGACATTCGCCAATGACAGCTCGCCCAATGCAAACGAATAATAGACAAACCACTAAATAATGCTGCATGTAGGGGATTTCTCGGTGACAATTACATTCCTCGGTCGTTTTCTATCGCTCGAGAAAGCGAGGGCGGAATCTTTAAGGGGTATTTTTGGGATCATCGAGGCGCTATGCAGCACCACACAAACTATGTGCGTGTGTGTATAGTACGTTGATCCGCGCTCACTCCACCCGCCGCGTGGCCGCTGGCTGGCTGGCTGGCTGCCCCTCCCCCCTTGCCCTTCACGGGCTGCTGCTACAGAAGCCCCTTGCTGAGTGGTTTCGCAACAACGGCCCCAACGGCAGTAGTAGAGGTAAAATGTCAGTGACTATTGACGGCTTAACGGTCTGAGCTGTCGCTGCTGCGCACGAGAGCACGCATCACAGTTTGTTGTCTCCCCTTCGGCTCACATATCGCACCGACAAAATTATATCTTCTCGGCCAGTCGCGCGCCGGTATGTCGATCGGCCAAAGGTAGGTCCACTCACTGTCCGCCGTCGCCACCTAGAGGGCTCTCCGAACGCCGCTGATGGTGACTAGAATGTCTCGCGATAGCTAAGAGGAGGCTCACATCAAAGTGGCCAGCGGCAGGCGACTGTGTGTTCGGCGCGATGGCTGCGCCGTTTCGTCCGCCACGAGAATGGCACTGAGCCTCCAGAAGGCAGCGCGCCGGGGCCAAAGAGAGCCTCCCGCCGCCAGAAAATAAGCTAAAAGCAACCAGACGCAGGAGCGGGTATCTACTCAGTCACTGCCGCAACAGCTACTAGCCGTGACGTCACTATCACCACAGCAGCCAAAAAACAGTGGCAGCAAGTAAAACCGTCAGCAAACAAACAGACAGGCAAACAGGCAACTAGCCTTTGGTACGGCAAGACGATGGTTATCGTTACCGGTGCTGCAGCCAGTGCAACTGACGCAGCTCTCGGTGTGAGCAGTGCGGATAAATAAATGTATCTATAGTCAGGCAACAGATGGGAAATATCCACGACAATGTTGTAAAACGAAAACTGCATAAATCGTCGGAACCACTAAACAAAATATAACAAAAATGTGACCCGCCTCAAATCTTCACAAAAACATGATGCCACCCTAACGCTCTTTAGGCATTAGTTTGATAACGTTGTACAGCCGCCGCTTTTCTCCATCCTAGTGATTTATTTACCCAGCCAGCCAGCCAGCCAGACAAGTCGCTAATTGCAGCGAAAGAAGGCGCGAATCCCACTTTGTTCAAATGACCTCTATCGGTACTATTGTTATCGCCGCAGCGCGAATTGAGTATTTAGGAGACGGCCCTAACACCCCTCTCTCAATTGGGCTAACGGGACAGAATGAAAAAACTGCCAATTACATCACATTTTCTGGGCTTTGGACGTTTGTAGAAGGAGGGGTCTTAGTTGGGGTCGAAGAGGTCGTCGGAATGTGCCCATCGCTTTCCCGGAGGCACTGGGACAAAATGCCCTTAAAGTGACCGTGGACAAGGGAGAGTCTCAACCCTTACTGGAAGCCATTATCACATTGACGGCATAACGTTCGGTGGATTCGGAGTCGCTTCGGGACGCTTTGGAAATCACCTCACGGCGTGACCGCGCGCCCTGGGACCGCGCGCTCAGAAAAATTCGGCGCGCGACTCCCGCCACCGTCACCTGATAGTCCTAGCCTAACCCGAAGCCGTCCTGTGTTCTATGCCTTGCTCGTCAAGCACGGCCGCTGCTATCGCCGTTGCTGTTAATATGGGAAGTTCACACTGCAGCACTTAGTCCGTAGAAAGCATCGAGCGGTGATTGCTGACATCTATATGTATATATATATATATATACGTATATATATATATATATATATATATATATATATATATATACATATATATATATACATATATATGTAGCAGTTGTTTATTCTAACTAGATCGGTTAGAACGTAAACTGTAGGACAATAGTACTTACGCCATGATGCTCCGGTTCGGCCGAGCACTTCTCCAGTATCCGAGTTGTAAAGGAACCGAAGTGCTCCTCCACTTTCCTCCTTATCTTTTCCGGCCATCCTTTTTGGTTGGTGTTAATCGAGTGGTTCAGCTGATAGAAGTGTCTTCGTTGAGAACGTCAGTCGATCGAATTGTGTCGCGTGAAAGAAAGTCGTCGTGATCCTCGCAGCAGCAAATTAGATGCGATGGTTGTTAAGGAATCGGTTATTCAAACAAACACGACGAACGAACACGAACACGAACAAAATAATGATGGACGATGAATGTTGTTGTCAGTTGTCCGCACGTCTTTTTTCCGCAGCACAACCTCTCCTCAACCCCTCACAAACGATGGAGCGCGAGCAGGCGGCCGTCGTCGCAAACGGCCCTACGACCTTAGGTTGTTGCAACACCAGATCTGGCTTGCACCGTCACTTGCTGCTAGTAAGCTGAGGTCTATATCTTTAGTTGTAGTGGCGTTCGATGGTGTGCACTTCGCAGCCAGCGATTCGCTGTTGACGCTGTAGCACTTCCGACTTGAAGCGCTGGGCAACCTTCCTCAGTCAGCTTAGCTTACTTAACTGTAGTCGTAGTAGCAGTAGTGGCTGTAGTTCAGTTCAGCTCTGCTGCCGCTGCGATTCGCTCATTCACGACATGCAACTACAACAGCATTCACCTCGGCTCGCTCGTCACTGCTGCTGCTAGCCCGGATGTGGAACAAGCCAGCGCCTGCTGCTCCGATCGTCAGTTGCACTTCTCTGCTGCCGCCGCTGCCACTGGCACACTCTGTTCTAGCTCGAGTCGCCCCAGGCAGATCAGCAAAGCCACCGCCGATAAAAGGCCGACCCACTCCACTACCGCGCCGGCGATCGATCGAGAAAGGAGGGAGGCAGCCGCCGATCTAGCGGCACCACACCGCTAGCGCACCACACTACCCAACAGCTGTCAGCTGTCTATGTCGCCGCCTTCGCAACCATGACTCGCGTTCCAACGGAAACAATGTTAGTGGTAAACTTGCGCTGCCTGCCACCGCCGTAACCGGTGCGTGCCACACAACGTACCACACGAACCACGTTGTGACTCCTGCCACAGACACAGCGCGTATGCAACGAGTTGTGTGTGAATAGAGCTAGCGCAAATAATAAGTCGTGTGTCCCCACCCAACATATTGCTTTGCTCCCCACACCCTCCTGTCTGTCGGTCCGTTCGTGCGGCGGTTGGTCGCGCGATGTGCAGGCTATAACCAGCAATAGCCACTGCTATCATAGCTACTAATACAAGCACACCTACTGCTACTACTATTACTACTACTACTACTACTACTACTACTACTACTACTACTACTATTACTACTACTACTACTACTACTACTACTACTACTACTACCACTGCTAACAGTAACATCACTACAAAAGTACTCTGAACAAATAGGCAGACGGTTAGACATATAGATAATCAGTCAAAAAAGATAGGGGCAACCCACTGCGGTAGCGACAACAACAGTGAAAATAAAAGCACTGCTAGCAAACCTTCCAACTGGCTACAAGTTTCGAGTCTACTAGCGAATGTCCCTCAGCGCACATACAAATGAAAACTGTCTCTCCAGAGCCGGATCGACAGCAGCCGGAACAGCAGCTGTTGACTTCGAAGGCTGAGCAGACCAGACAGGTACCATCTACATTGAGTCAGCCATAGTAAACGCGCGCGGAGCAACGTACCAAAACGTTTGTGAGCACCCACGGCTCACCTTGATGTTAGCTAACGAGTTGCAGATCAAAATGCAGCAATAAAATTGATAAATTAAAGAAGATTACAGCAAAAATGTCCCCTGTTGTTGTTAACGTAAGAATAACAACAAAAGTAGGCAAACGAAGAAGCTCTGTTCTCCGCTGAAAGCAACACTTACTGCTAGGCACTACACGTACAATAGTGTGATGCGCTGTGTAACAGCGGCTCATCATTTTATATAAATTTCCGGAAGTTCTTCCAGAAGCTAGGTAAGCAGGAATACTTGCAAGAACAGCAATGCTATTCTTAATAACAACGATAGCAGCCATCGTAGTGACTTGTTGGTCAGTGGTTAGCGGGAAACGGGCGAGTATTGAGTGACCTCTGTCGTAAATCGATGGTAGCTGTTGTTGGCAGCTTGAATCAGGCGTCCGTTGCCGCTGTAACATTAATGTTTCTTAGGTACAATGCGCTAATAGAGGCGCCGCGAAGTTGTGTAGCTTAAAGCACAAAAATATTGTGCGTACTCTAGCATCCTGACGGTACGTTCTAGTTTTTGCGGCAGGTCTCGGGGCATTGAGCCTGTGTTGCCGAACGAACGCAAGAACGAGGCCGTGATGACGATCGACGCGGCTTATGAAATTATCCGCAATCACAAAAGACGATCAGGCAATATCAACCTAATAACAATGATAAAGGCATCTAACTGCTATGATGCCTTTTTCCTAATAAGACTGTGACCGCTTTAATTATATTGGGGGATTATTACACCGGATCTGTGGCACAAAATTGTGTACGCAAACAGAGCATTATATAGACGTCAGGCATAAAGTATTGGAGAACAGCGACAAGGCTAAAAAAATATTGCCGGCATGAGGCAAATGGCTGGAAGCGGCGAGATGGATTTTTAGCTATAATCTAAGGAGGCAAGTTCGATACAACAAAAGCCGCAAGAGACGACAAAAATTCAAGAGGAAAACTTGCTCAAAAAAAGTTATACGTAACATAAATTTAGGACAATATAAGTAAAAATCTAACAACGATATTATTTTATGTGCCCACGCACTGTGTTTACGGTAATTTACATTTAGGAAAGTGTAACTGTTTTTACATTTTCGCTATTGGACATATTTTTTAATAGAATCCGGTTTGTTTACAGTGTAGAAATGTGCCACCAGTCAATCCTGTATCAGAGCTGTTGATTCGATAAATTGCCCAAAGATCGAAGAATCAATCGGTGCATGAAACGGATATGTTGCAAAATATTGTTTCCACTAATAGAAAGCCGTAACTTCAATCGATCGGCTTCTTAGTCTGACCTAGTGGCCTTTAGTTCTTCTTGGCACCGTCAAAAGCGGGAACTGGTCATGCATGGTATCGATAGAAAAAGAAGCGGGTGCACATGCTATAAGGCAGTTCGACTATGAACCAAATTGATATTTCACATGCATCTTCGAATGTAAATACTGAAAATAGTTTCATTATCATGTCTAGTATTGACAGTAAGCTTATGCACAGCTTCAGCAGCGCCTATGTATGGCTTGGGAAACGAGATTGATTTATAGTAATTTTTAGAGCAAAATTTATAGTAAATGGGGAAGTTTAAGTGGTCCTAGGTTGGGTAGACAAAACTGCTATAATCTCTATTTTATTTTCCGAGCCAACTATGTAGATCATAATTGTAGAGGGCAGAACTGCGAGCGTGTTTGTAATTATTCCATGAAAAGAGAAGGCAATGTTTCAAAATTAGCTATCATGATAGGATATACACCAAAATAATATATGCAAACCCCAGGTATTTGCACCCACTAGCGTGCACATCAGACTACTTAACCTCTGCCTGATTGATTCCAGGGATAGTCGGTGTTGCTGCTTTAGCTGTCGCCAACAGCGCATGAGTACCGCACACTTCTTCCCTTCCGGAACTCGCTAGTGGGGAAAATGCTTTGTGCACATTCTATAATCCTTCTGCTGAATTCACGCATCATGTAGCATTTCTCCCCAGACCCCAGCAATTTTGGAACCTGTTTACCCACCTTGCTAGTACTGAAGGTTACCGTTTACAACTGGAAACCAGTGCTTCACCACATGCTTCACGTGTCGGCTGGCAGATATTGTTTATTAGCTGTCATTGCTTTCGTTAGCCAGTCATATCCGGAAGAGTCGAGGTTTAACGTAGCAGTTGACCATATAGATGTGTTCGCTGATTGGTACACAACTCTTTTCGAGCCTTCGTTATGTGCATATATCAAAGATTCGACAGCGAGCTTACGTATATGTTATTTCATCACTTTTATAGAAAGACAGAGTTTTAGATTCGACTTTTTTTTCCACACAATTTTATTTATTGCTGCTTTAATTATATACTGTTTTATTTCATATCAACGAGGGGTAACGTACAGTTCTGGCTTTACTTTCGTTTACTAATATACAACGCTAGGTAATGTCAAGCAATCTTCGATTTGGCGGCGGCGGCGGCAGGTAAAGTGATGCGTAAGTGGCGTGGCGTGGCGCGCGCCCGGTGCGTGATGCGCATTTTGCAATGGAATCACAAATGTGGCTTTCCAGGCCTATACGACAATAACAAAAAGAACCAGCACTATTGTCATCATTTTATTAGGATTAGGTTGCGAGGGAGCTGGATTTTAAAATCTTCGCTTTGGTCCCAAATTAATGAAAACACAGTGTAATGCTGGTGGCAAAGGCTCTGAATGGGTACTCTTGACGTGCGTTTTTCTGGCGGCAGTTTATTGCGACAACTATAACGGTCAGAGAAATTTGGAAAATGCTACAGAAAAGCGAGGGAATTTTCCAGAGAATCGATTTTTTTGGCTATTTAAGTGGCTATTTGAAAAAAATGCCTTCAGATACTTCAGTTTTTAGCATAGTTGCTTACTCTGTTAATGTTAAGAACATGTGTAGGAATGAAATTGAATCTGCTTGTATGATTTGTGATGTTTTTCCCTTCCATAACTATTCCTTCAGAGTTGTATCCGAGGCAGCTTCAGAGCTCCATCCATGGTACTTTTGGAAAGCAACCTGAAAATGAACGACAGGTGTTAATCTGTTTAATTCATTTCACATGGTTGGTATAAATACATAATATGTGCAGGAAGTTGATGATCACGTTTAGTTGGCTAGGTGTCAAGGTTTGCATGTTGGTTACAGTTGGTAAATTGGCCGGAATAGGATCGGGAATGGATAAGTTACCAGATACAACCCTTATTGTGATTTACGTTTTGTAATTGCTAGTGCATTGTGCGTCGCGTTATAATATGACGGTCACTTCTCGTTTGTTTTCAGCTGCCATCAGGCTTACCTAGGACCGAGAAAAATGGAAAGTATGTTTCGACTAATTTGACTTTTTATTCTATTTGCTTCGGCTTGAAGAACACCAAACATCTTTGGCCTATATTCGATAAATGTCGAAGTGTTGATTAATAGGTATCCTAGGCGAAGGCCAGTTGTCACGTGCAAGCCTAGTACTAGTTTCAAGAGTGGCGGCTTTATTTTGTGCGCATATGGTAGACCTCCGGCGTTTGAATTTTCCCGGACAATTGGGATCCTGTATGTAGCAGTCGGTATAATCTTCAGCCCAATTAATTTTACTGCTATTTCGACAAGTACTTTTTGCAGCCGATGGATTGTGACAACTGCTATCAACCAGCTGCTCCCGAACCTTTTCCTTTATGTGATCAGAGAAAGATCTCCTCGTTGCCATTAACATGGTACGTAAATGGCTTAACAGTATTCAAGGTCGTTCCGTTTTGACAAAACTAATCCCTGTTAGCAAAGTTTGCCGTTCTTCTAAACTTCATGGTGCCCTTGTCTTGCTTTTGTTAATTTTCAGACCAAGCTCGGCAGTGCAGTTGATGTCCTTTAATAGACCTTCACCTATGGAAAGCCCCCAGTTGTGCTCACATTTTGAGCGTCTCACGCGCGAACATTGCTATCAGAAAAGGATGTACCCGTCGTAGGAAGATACTTGTAGCCAGACGTTTACTTCGCGATTCCTCTTGAAGACTTCGGGTCCGTGCGGTCTGCTTTCCTTTTAGGAGAAACCACCATGGTACAATATATTTTATTGTAACATTATTGGATATTAATGAAGTACCTAAAGTAATTATTGACCCCGTCAGCTAATTAGCTGTTAGAGTTAAGCTCGGTAAGCCCTCCTATTAGCTAATTTTTGGACTGGTCGATTTCGCCTTAGAACAACGGCGGTTGTAATAGACAAAACAAAACAGTGTTTCATGTATTTAGAAGGACAATGCTCTAGTGATGCGCTATACAGTAAAAGTAATACTACTGTGATAGGCGAAAACAATAAATTGAAAGATCAAAAGAGATGGCTGGAAAAAGAGATGACGCAAACCTAAAACATCTTCTTTTCTCGCCTACAGTGGCGGCCCCCGTGTATATTTCCAATTTTCTAAAACAGCCCGAACCGTTCTCCATACAGAAGGTATATCGAAAACCTTGCTGCTACTGCTTTTGTTAGACGCTTTAATTCTCTCGGGAATGGTGCTTTTAAGTTCTACGTGTTCTTGCGCATTTTGTCCCAGCCTCATTTTCCTTCGGCCGGCCATAGGATAGGTATCGCCATCAACTAATCTGACCAAACTTACTTTGTGTGCGTTACAGAGGACCTCTGCCGAAGCCATTTCAACGGTAGTGTGTGTGTGGTAACGGCTAACTTGAGGACGAAGAGGGTGGCTTGTTTCCTGCCAACTGGCGCCGTACGATGAAATAACGCGGTAAATATGAGTTATATAATTATGTATGAGTTATATAATATTTCAATATGAATTAAGTCTATTGTATCACCTTAGGTGAACGCATCACGAGCCAGTTTTCCGAATTCAAGAAGCATTGGACGCTGCCTTTTCATCCACCATGGAGACGTTATACATCCGATCTGTTGCTAATGAGCTCATCGAATTTTGTATCTTCTAACCAGACACTCGATGGTAAGCTGCAAGTTGTTCGGGCTTCTAAGTTGTTCCACTGCGTAGCCTGACCCGCTGTACCGCCGAGCATGAAGCATGCCTAACGGTGAAAACTACCTTCAGCATTCAACGTTAGGGCTTTCAAAAGGAAATGTTGGGCTTTTCTGTATGTATATGTTGTAACAGGATTCTCCGCAATCTGAGCTCCTGTTGCCATTGTTGCTACTGTCTGACAAACCTGTAAATCCAACTCCGTACTATGCGTCTGCAGTAGTAAATTATAGCCTTTCTTATTGTTGAAAGAGCAGCCTTCGTGCTAGCTGTTTGTTGCTGACCGTACCTACAAATCGTCGTCTATGAAACAAATAAATAAAGCTGTGTTCAAGCGTAGAGTTATCAGGTATTTAATCAGGTACTGCTGACCAACACATTAAATTTTCGTATATAATCTTCATATAGGTAATTTCGTATATAATTTTCACATAGGTAAAACAATTAAATTAGTGTTGATGTTGTTTTGTCGCTAATGTTAGGACAATCTGGGTCAATCGACGGTTATCCTAGTCTGCGGCAGGCATCTATAGAACCTTAGATAGCATCCCTAAATCTATTTTTCCCACTAATATTACTATTATTTAGTCAAACAAGTAAACGAATGTGCTTTAGATCATCATGGCACAATATTATGAATGATTCAATTCCGACAGACGTTTCAAATGATGTATTAAATGAAAGTAATTAGAGCCCTCGTTCTGGCGGTAGCTTCCATTTCTCATAAGGGCGTAATTTGCGAGCGCATGCGTGCCAGCGAACAATAAAGGTGGCGGAGATAAGCGTAGCAATTATAAAAGCACAGATCAACATAAAAGCGCACAACATAAAAGACGAAAAAAAGGACAACAACGAGGAGCAGGTGGTTGCTGCCGAAGAGAAAATGAACCTTTTAGTCAAGTCGTCAGGAAGATGCCCGTCATGCGGCTTTGCCGATACTCTATGTAGGAATAACAATATAAAGGCACCAAAATAATGATTAATATGCGCTGCAACTAGGTGGCCACCCGTAGTCATTTCGTAGACAACTAAGGTAGCTAGAAAAGTACCTGTTCACCGAATGTTGCACCTACCAGCATTTCAAGCGTCTTGTCTTACAATCATCAATATGCGCCTTTTGTATCACTTTTTATACGATATTGATGTTTTTCTTTACCTTACTGTTAAGATAAGCAGAGAGCTACGTTTTCATAGATTACAGAAACAACTGCTTGTCGTTGTAGAAAGACCGGGAAATGAATGTGGAAAATCTAGTATTAAGTGAAAGGCGATCTCATCTTATAAGATCTGAAGAACTTGCTCCATAGCCTGAAGTATGTAGGCTTAGACTTAGATCTAGGCCTGCTCTTTTTTCTTTTTATTGAAAATCATAATACGTCGTAATAGGTGAAAATGAATTTCTACTGTTGAACTGTCTGTCTGGCACTACAAGGACGAAGCTTACGGCTCAAATGCTTTTTAGGCTATATATCGTTGCCTATATTGAGTAGCATAACTAAGTTAAATTTGACTTGCCAAGTAGAAAGTTCGCTTTTTCTTGGACTTGATTCGCTGTGCTATTTGAAAAAAACGCAATCGCACTTATATATATATATATATATATATATATATATATATATATATATATATGCACTTATATAATATCGTGCTATAAATGATGAGAAAGTTAATGTTGAAAAATGACGACAAATACTGTTGAGCACCGTTGTAATACTATGAAATTCCATTACGTCTAGTTGTCCTTGTTCTTACCATTGTTCTTAATAATACCATTCAGTCGAATTTAGGCCTAAATAAATAAGTAAACGCTTCGAATTTAAAGTGTGGTTCTTCAGACTTGGGTCTGATTTAATTCGCTATTGGATAATACTATAGAATTATAATAATATGTAGATTATAATGTACTAAAGTTTAGCGTCCTTTTTCTGTTTTACGTCTATGTTTAGGAATACGCTTAGGACAGTACCACGAGATTTGTCACTATTGCAAAAAAGTACGCATGATACAAGAAAATGATAGGCTTTTTGCAAAAGCCATTTAAATTTGGCTTAGTTGATACCCATCGACAGGTATGGCCACGAGTCGATGCTGATCTGATCTGACGTCCTTTAAATAGCGAGAATGATGTCAATCGGGTAAGGCCATTGAAACATTGCTAAATTGACTAGCGCTGAGTCAAATAGAGACCTACCGGACTAAATACATTAGCCATAATTAGGGGATCACACCCTGAGGCCTGTGCTACATGTTGCCCTGTAATGTTTACATTGTGAACGGTATAATAAGTTGTTTTTTGAGATTTTTTTATGACGTTGATTTTGATACGTATTTTTTAATGTTGTTTAGAGAGTGTCTAATGTTAACGTACTGTTGATTATCAATATAGGTAATTTTCATTGATTGATAGACAATCAATTTAATCCACAGTATGTATTTACGATAAATGTTCGTAAATATTCATCCTGTGTTATCACCTTATTAGTTCGGCACTTATTGGAAAATTGGCTCCTCCATAATAGTTTTACTAGCGATTTGTGATGCATTAAGAGCGAATAAGATTTTGAACAATGTTTTTTTCCCTAATGAATAGTTTTAGAACATAGCTAGAACGGACGCGGATGACGTTAGCATCTCAGATAAAACCAGATGACGTTTTTAGCATGACTACTCCGGTGGATTGCATCCGCCTTTATGCAAGATTCTGTTCCAGACGATACGTTACCACAGTTCTTAGCTTTAAGAGGTTTCATCTTGAACGTCATCAAGGATTATATGTGAGTTATAAGGGGGTAGCACGAAAAGATGTAATACCAATCTTACGTGGATATTTACCTTTCCACAATTGCATTGCATGCATATTAATATGTCAACGCGTGAGATCTAGAGTCCGGAAATATCAGCTCGAGTCGGAAAATTTGCTGAACCTATAATCGAACTCCCCGCGCTAATTTCAAAATAATGGCCAGAACACGTTGTGTTGTTATTGATTTATCCTTGACAAATGCATGTTGATCAGTATCCGAAAGTTGTCTGGCTACTACTACTATTAAATAAACCACTATACGGACGTCTACGTTTTTCCTGAATTAAGCAAGTTATTTATGTACCATTGATGTATTGGACGATATATAATTACTTAGAATTTCAGGCCCTTCTTTTGGGCTAGTGTAACGGGCAAAACTTTAAAAGATCAGAAAGAGATTTATTCTCGTAGGATCGGGCCATTATTATGCGGAAAAGCTTAGTAGGAGAGTGTACTAAGGCTATTGTAAAGGACGAGGGATCTCTTTAGAAGCAGACCTATATTTGACAGGGAGCTCTTGAAATTTATTAATGATAAATGTGGTGGAAATGGTTAAAGACGCACATTCAGAGCCCTTCAGAATTGAAATACTCTCCCCCCATGATGCTCCACGTGAAACGAAAATGCGCCTGTCTCTAAGTGCATTTTTCCGTATTAAATTATTAAATCTGCATTTATTATTTATATATATATATATATATATATATATATATATATATATAGGAATTATCATTCAAATTTAGAGATACTGTTACCTACTTAGCTATTATTTCCCGTTTTTTCGCTTCAGTTTTCAGAGCGAAGCAACGACTTCCTAACAGTTGAAAGTAAGTGGAGGATTTCATGCGATTTAGACCCGGTACGAGGTAATGGGGTCACAATCAAACATATTTTGAGAGTATTCATGTTCTGGCTTATGTGCGTCAAGTTCTATTTGTGCGAGCATACCTAAAAACTAAGGCTAGATACGGCAAATAATCAATTAGATGACTATACATATTATCAAAGGATTTAGCCCAAATAGCAAGAAGCAGTGTAGCAATCACACTTATAGAAATCTACGTATTGACTGGCAGTATCAAACTATTCTAGGCTGATAATTAGTTGGAACGAAATGGTGTTTTGAGGTAGGCGAATAGGTGTGTCGATCATAGGTGTAAATGAGAGTAGGGATCGACTTTGGTATAATATCAAGAACTGCTTTGTCCACCCTGCTGCTGGTGTTTTCAGACTCAACCGTGGCCGGCTGTGTTGTATCCTGAACAACTATGCAGAAGTTAATAAATATGGCTTTGTTAATCAATCGTTGCACCAGTAGTTAGATGATTCGGAAAACTTCTAGTTCTATCGGTGCGCAATAGATCAACACCCGCATTCGACACGTAAGCAGGATACAAAGTACACAACGCCATCACCATGGAAAACATCTATGGCAATAGCATCAATATTATATATAATCTACACTGTGCAGCGTGTTAAAGGCTTCGTAATACGTACGAGGAGTCCACCTTCTTTCAAGCCGCGATCTCATAGAAAGGTTCGGTATCGCTTATCAAGCAATGGTAATGTTTGAAACGGTATCGTCTAATCAGATTCTTATGCCTATAATAGTATCGAGACCGTAAAGAGGCTTGTAACTATGTAGGCTGTCACATGTTTGGAGTCTGGCAAATGACAACGCAATAAAACACATTTAACAATAATTTGTTATTCGACAAGTGCTCGGTGCTCCCCCAAAGGGCGTTTATGGGAGATCACAAACGGCCCTGACGATCTAAATGTCTACAACTGTAACTGATTATTAACTTTGTTTGTAAATACCAAGAGCAGTAATCGTTCACGAGTTGGATGAGCCTCTCTAATTTTGATGTCGTTAATGGTCTGCGCTGTGATTTTTTGATATGCGATGAGCAAGAAATCGGAGATCGCTCTTCTTCTGAAACCTCGTGCGAGAACAAGTGATGGAGTCTGCGAGAAATTGCCTTTGATATTGGATGCAAGACGTGTAGTTCCGTGTAGGTACAATCGGACCTTTCAAATTTATCGCGCTATTAATCTGCTATTCCGTAGTTGTTTAAGTGAATGGATCAGTCACCCACAGCAATGTTAAATCTGGAATCGTAACTGCAAAACTCGGTTACCATGTTGTCACGGTCTCGTACAAAGCTGCTTTGAAACACATTTTCGACGGTCGAAAGAGGGCAGACATTCAAGTGAGCCTCAGCACGCAGAGGGGAGATGTCTAGTCACTGAGATTGTTATCGAGAGATTTATTCTGATGAGAAAACATGTTGAGTATAAGTCTTACGTGAAGTATAACTTTATGATCTATGTCCGTTGTCGACTGTACGTGACCATAGATTAGTTTTGTTACAATGAAAGCTTGCAAACCGCCTCTGATAAATACAACGGGATCTCTAAGGAGACTTGTTGCAGATACGAAGACATCCTATGAAACTTCAAGTCACCGCAAGTCATGTTTGCCTTATCGTGAGCTGCTTAA